CCATAAAAAATGAGAAATTAGAGACATTTATAGCTAAATGGATGCACACTGAGGCGATACTCTTAAGTGAAATAAATAGGACACACATGTAAATACCGAATAGTTTCTCTTGTGTGAGAAACTAAAAGTGTAAATAAGGACTAAAAAGTAAAACAGATAATGTGAAATAGGAAGGGGCAAAGGGGAAGTGGGAGGGGTAGGGGGGAAAGAAGGGAATGGAGTATCAGAAAAAGAAAAAACGGAAACAAAGTCTTTGTAAATAGGGAGGGATGGAGGGACTGGAGGGCAGGGCAGGAAAAATAAGAACCGAGAGATTATGTAAAGGTGCAAATTTCCAATTATGAATGTCATTATATTGGATACCTAAAATGTACCAGTAAAACTAAATTTAAAAATAGTTCTAAAAGGTTTGCCATCTCTGATTCAGGCCAGTTTATACAAGATACTGCATTCTTTCCACAAAAGTTGCCATCTTCGTATCATCATCATTTATATATTATTTCCTAAAAAATTCAGAGCTGCTTCTATATAAAGATATTTCCATTTTTCAAGTCCTTTACAATGACCTGAGATTTTAAAACTATAGAAATATTTCATTAAATTATGAAGAATATTTAAGAAAGTAGTGTGTAGGTATTTAAAAATATTTGAAACAGTCACTCTTGTGTTACTGAACTACCCTGTATATGGTACCTACAAGACACTTTTGCTGAGAATCACATGTATCAGCATTAGCAATACATGATTTAAATCAAGGCCATAAGACCATGGATTGATTTAAACATTTAAATAAAAGGCCACAGGGGCCGGGGATTTAGCTCAGTTGTTTCGCCAACTGCTGCGCAAGTGCAAGGACCCGAGTTCGATCCCTGGTACCAATCAATCAATCAAAAATACCATCATCACAATTTTAAGAATTTTAAGTACATTTTATTAACAATGTATCCCTTTGATAAGATTATGCTTCAGGAGGCTTTTAATGCCCTTGACATAAACTGTACACATTATACAAAAACAAGAAAACCACAAAAAAAATTCAAGGTGAGCAAAACCATTTTGGGACAATTCTTATTTAAATTATACACAACTCAATGAAATATTCTTACGGAAAATATATAAATACTTTTTCTTTCTATGTTACAGTTATACAATATAAATCCGATTTCAATGTGTTCAGTGACCTACAAACACCAGAACCTCCAAATATGTAGCAGCGTATTACTAAATTAAAAAAAGAAAATCATGTGGTTAGAGAGCATTGAGTCTGAGATTTTTTTCACAACCCTTTTACCACTCTTCAAAACGAATTTACATCATTTGTTTTATAATGCATCTTTAGGGTTTCTGATAGGCCAGTAATGGAACATTTTTCAACAATCATCCATAAAATGTTTTTCACTTCCCTCTCCACCCTAAGACTTTGCCATTTTGTGCTAAATTAACCTAGTTAAGTGACAAAAGTGTAAGATATGCTTATTTTTGGCATAAATTATATTTTTCAAATTAAGTATTTTATAAAGAATGTCAAACAAAATGTCCAATTTTTGCATGCTATGGCGTATTTACCACCTACATTACAAAAATACTCCAAAGGGGGAGAATTCCACATTCTGTTGAGTCTTATAATATAAACCTTCTATGAATGAGAACTACCCTGGGAACCTGGAACTAAAAGGGAAGGAGAGTGTGCAGGCTGGAGGAATGTTCTAGAAAGATTCTTACAGATTTAATGTTTCTTGATAAGTACTATTAATCTCACTAGTATGTTTTTTAACCAAACTCTTACTATAGTAACACTCTTGAAATTAAAGATGGTAACAATGTATGTATTTTGTAAATACAGAGATAAGGGAGACCTTTCCCAATTTACATTTTGGAAAATCTGAAATGTTCATTCATTCCAGTCTTTTTCTGAATCTCTCAACTAATTCTACCTTTTCTTTTTTCCTGTGTTTTAATGGACTGTGAATCTGAGACAACAACTGGAAGCATAGGACTAAGGGGGGGGGGGTGTCATTACTTCCATAGACCATTTCCCAAAGTAGTTTAAAAGTTGTTCTCACACAAAATTAGCACCTCACTCTAACCGTGCAAAAATAATTTAAGTTATAATTTGAATGACAGACAATTTGGTTTTTATTGCTTAATGATCTGTGCTTTAAAAAGGGGATAAAAGGCATCCTTTGAATGGAATGAAATAAAATTTTATATAAATAGCAGTAGACAAATCTAAGCACTGACATCTCACTCTTGAACACTTTGCCATTGTAACATATTCTGAAAAATTCAGCCTTAATTATCTGAAGCTCTAGACAAAAGAGCTGAAAACCAATAAAGCTACCATTTCTAAAGGACTTGTACGCTTTATAATAATGTATACACTTCCAAAAAGCCTCTTTTAATGTCACTGTCTTACAGAATGTCCTTATGTTGCTAATCTTTATTAGAAAAATTTTAACTAGGGAGAACATACTCCCCTGCCTTCCAATGACCTAAGCACAGACAGGAAATAAAAGTATAAGAAACTTTAGAGCATATTTAATTATGAATACTAAATTTCTAATTTCCTTATTTATCAGTAATTAGTATGTGAAGCTGACATCCATTCTTAAAAAATTCAATTAGAAATGACAATTTACAACTAGAAATTCACAGTTTACAACCAGCATAACAGATCAAATTCCTCCCAATTATTCAATAATTACCAATAGTACAAATTTATATGGACTAAGATTAATTCTAAAATCTTGAAAAACTATAATGGTGACATTATTTTGGTATTCTATCGTCTTAGTAATATCTATTATGTTATTTTTCTCGATTATTTCTATTACCACTGACATCATTCCTAACCTCTGCTGTATAATTTAATATTTTTAAAGATCTAAGTTAATCACTTGGCACTGCATGTATTTTTCGTAAGTCTACTTTTATACAACCAAGTACTCAAAGATAACGTATTCAGTGAAACCATGAATAAACCAAATACCACTATAAATTTAACTGTAGACATTCTTTTTCTTAGCATACTGAAAATCACAAAGCTCTGAGTGTCTTCAAAAGTAAGTGCTCTAAGTGGGTATCATGACATACACATACATGACTTTCAAAGTAACAGCGAGAAAAAGACCTGTTCAGGCTAGTACTAACAGCCTTAATTTCAACTTAGGTGGGGTATAGGGATGGAGATCATTGTATACATGTATGTGACGAAAGATAATCTGTTAACTTTTGGGGGATTAAACCACAGATTTTATACTGTATATTAACTGAGGTAGTGTTTAAAATGAATGTCTAAAATATGTTAATCCCATTCTGGATAAGATTACTACATTACTTCCTTTGAAGTTTTTAACCACTATTTGGTCTAGTATTTCTGACATCTGGTTCTCTGGGAAGGCAGTTTAATTATCCAAGACCAAAGACCAAGGTGACAGAGAACGTTCTTAGAAGCATTGCTAACATTTAAATGAACACTTGGGTTCAGTGGTAAAGTTAAAAAAATTATTTGTTTACCTTCACTAAATTTCATGAGAAAAAATCTGAAGACCCCTTGTTAACATAAGCAGCAGCTTACAGCCCTTATCTGCTTTGTTGCAATGTAAGTTGCTACACAGTGCACAGAAGAACAATTCACTGAAGTGCAGTCAAACAGGTGGTAGGAAATGAGATGAAATGCTTCATCCCAAATGGGAACTCTCAGTGCCAGTTTGAAAAAAAAAAGTATCTCTGTGAGTTATGTTTTCTGGTTCACAGGGTTCTTTACAGAGATTTCAAAGAACAAGCCCATTACAAAAAGGATCTGCAACATGGAAGAATATAACATTAACCAATGGTCTATGACTGTGTCAAAGCTGATGTGTAACTGTAAAAATGGTCTACGCAAATGGATTTAAAAACAGTCCTAATAAATCCAGCTGGATTTTTTTCTATTTTCATTTATATATAGATTTCAAAAAAGATAACCCTGATTTACAGGCATTCTAATGATGGCCATGCTATTTTTATATACAAATTTGCATATATGTCTGATTCCTGTCAAGATTTCCAAATATCTTTATACACACACAAATTAGACAAACAAAATCTTGCCCTCATCAACTTAACTTCACAAATGTGATGAAGGCAATTACTGCACTCTTAAACTCACCTATCACTGCATTCATGTAGTTTGTGCAAAACAAGAACACTGATACAAAAATTAAACCACTGCTTTAAAATTTAGTACTTAAGGCTTTTCACTACAATTTCTAATCTTAATAACAAGTTTCATCAATGATTTTTTTAAAGGAAATATGGCTCTTCTTTTCCCATGGAATGTGTAAATTTCAGGCAAACTTATCTTTTCTTCAGGAGATCCAAAATATTATTTAATGCTTTGCTCTGAGTGTGAAGTAATAGTGCTTGTTCATGTTTCTGTTTAAAATGATGATATGGGAAGGTGATGAACATGGAAGTCCACTGGAAATTCTACAAATGGGAAACTGTACAAATGGCAAATATTTTTAGTTGAACTATAAAATGATTTCAGTTCAATCAGGAACCATAGTGAAAAACCTTAATTGGTTCAAACAGCCTATAAGAACACACTGCAACAAAACTGAAAAGATGGAAAACAAATAAGAATCTTTATGCAGTCTAATAACATAAAAATAATTTATAAGTCCCGGGTTGTTGAGGCTCTTCTTTTGCTTTGAGGTTACCCACCTCTGAAATAGTGTTACAAACATTAAGAAAAGGTGGAAGGGTCAAAGTTCCCTCTCTTAATACCAGCAGTTACAGTACACCCTATTGTAGTAACAGGATGCAGCCTTAGAGACACTAACTCTTGGTTTCCCCAAATTAGTTAACAAACAAGGTGTTTACTGACCCTTAAAAAAAAAAAAAAGAAAAGTAACTGTGTGAAGGGTGCTTCTGCAATATCCTATTATTGTTCCACTGTTATTATGCTTTTAAAATGAAAAAACAGAAAACCTATGAAGGTATTCAGTGCTTGGCTCTTGCATTCGATGGTAATTGAAACTCTTAAAATTGTGGTGATAAAATAGGAACCCTTCAAAGGGCTCAACAGGAAGAGAAGGAAGTTGTTTTGGTTAGGGAAGTCAGCAGTTTCAACTGTTCATGTACCAATAATTGCTGGAACAGTGTGCAGAAGATACTTCTGTCTTTGCTGCCCAGTCAGTCAGTATTTTCTGAGGCTTTTAGAAAATCCACAAATATGAATATATATAGTATTTATCTATACACATCATAAATATGAGGTCAGGATTCAGCAGATTTATCAACTATAGGTTGCTTTGGTGGTACTGCCAACACAGCCTCTGCTTCTTCATGCATCTAGGAAAAGAGTGGTAAATCTTTAACGACTTATAAAAACAGTAAACAATGTTTAATTTGACAAATAACAAATCTTACTTACTTGTAAAAACTGTACATCTTGAAATAATTCTTGTATGAACCTCCGACATGGAAGTCTAAATGTGCAGTGTGACAGCAAATGAGAAACCTCAGAGTAAAGGCATATGTCATCAAATGTTTGAGGATACTTCTCCTTAATTCTAAAATGAAAGGAGACTAGGATGTAATAAAAACTGCAATCATGTTCTATTTTTCTTCCAAAGTATCATTTACTTATAGAATAGTTTTTTCTTCAGATACTGATTAGATGGTGTATTTAGGGTGACACTTTAAGAATATATATCGTATTCTTATCTCACATTGAAATGAGATATCCTGAGTTTCAGGTATTTTTTTAAAGATTACCAAAACTCAAATGCTTCTTGTAAAGTTAGAAATATTTTCTTTCATTAGCATGAGAAAGTACAAAATTTATCAGGCTAGGAGAACTCAAACATCTTTAAAATTAAGCTTTGTAATAGAAATATGTCTTTTGTTAGACTTCAGTTCACACTTTGACTGGACTATCTTGACACTTTAAATTGACTTTTAGCTAGAAGAGCACTTCAGAATGTGAGTTATACACAGGCGAAGGTCCACTCCTACTGCTCTCAGCCCAGAGGTCTGCAGTGGGACCCTGGTGCCTGCATGTTCTTTTAAAAAGTCCTACAGGAGACACTGAGCTGCATTTCTTGTGGGAATCAACTACAATAAACAGTGCAAACATGCTTACAGTCCATCTGAATTTCTTTTCATGCTGCAGTGATTTAAAAAATAATAAAAATTCCGCCACTTTCATTTAGAAAAAAGGAAAAATAGAAAAAAATTAAATCAAGAAAATTATTACTTGTTTTATGGAAGTCTACATTTCTTAAGGTTTTTGGTCTTAGGACTTACCTTTTTTTTTAAGGACTTCCTTACCTTTAAAAAAATTTTTGAAACACTTTTTTTGTGTGTGGACTACAGTTATCAACAATTACCATATCAGAAAGTGAAGTTTAAAATTTTCAAAATATTAGTTCATTTAAAAAATCAATATCTGGAGTCGCGCGGAACACACCTAATCAGCCCACTGCAGACAGGCAGGTCTGCACACGCCCTACCGAGGTCGGTCCCCAGTCTCGTGGAACATGCCGAATCAGCCCACGCCCCGGCAACAATCCACTGGACAAACCCCTCCCCCCGACCCCCGCTCCTCTGTATAGCCACCGGGTTCCACACTACAAAGACACAAAGGACACCGGACCGCCACACCACAGTACTGAGTCCCGCTGCTCCTGGCCCAGAGGTAGGGGCTTCTGAGCCACCATCCCACTGCTCCTGGTCCAGAGGAAGGGGCTTCCTGGCCACCATCCCTCCTGCTCCTCCCAGCCCAGAGGAAAGGGCTTTTGAGCCACCTTCTGTCCCACCGCTCCCAGCCCAGAGGAAAGGGCTTCCGAGCCACCATCCCTCCTGCCGCTCCCGGCCCAGAGGTAGGGGCTTCTGAGCCGCCATCCCACTACTCCTGGTCCAAAGGAAGGGGCTTCGCGGCCACCATTCCTCCTGCTGTTTCTAGTGCAGAGGAAAGGGCTTTTGGGCCAACATCCCTAACCCTGCTCCCGGCCCCTGTCCCACCTCTCCCAGCTCAGAGGAGGTGAGCCACACAGGCACCAACAGCACCCCACCCTCGAAATGAGAAAACACATAAATAAGTCTCAAAACCAGACTTCCAGATCACCTGCAGCAACCCCAAAGGGAAATGAGATGGAACACTCTGATACTCAAACACCTGGACCCACTGAACTGGCAACAAAAAGGGATCTGGAAAAAATGAAATCAGAAATAATTTCTCAGATAACAGAAGAAATTGTGCTCCTACTGCAAGACATGATTAAAAAATCTAGAGAGGAACTGAGGAACATGATGGAATCCCAACATAGGAAACAAATGGAATCCATAAAACAGATGGAAATAATTTACAGGACATGAAAAACTCCACTGAAAGTCTACACAACAGAATGAGCCAATGTGAGGGCAGAATTTCAGATATAAAAAATAAGATTGCAATTAATGACCAGGAAAAGAAAAACGGCTTCAAAACTATAAGGGAACATGAGAAATCAATCCAGCAGCTGCTAGACGATGCAAAGAAGAATAACATAAGACTAACTGGAGTCAATGAAGAAAGAGGAGAGAATGCAGATGACATCAAAAAACTCTTCACAGAAATAATGGCAGAAAACTTCCCAAGCAGGGGAAAAGAGCTTCACATACAGATAAGTGAGGCATATAGGACTCCAACTAGCCTTGATCAAAAAAAGTCTACATATAAGCATATAATAGTTCGGATTCCAGAAACTCAACAGAAGAACAAAGTTCTACAAGCAGTTAGAGAAAAGAAACAAAACACATACAAAGGAAAGCCCATCAGAATCACAGCAGACTTCTCA